GAGGTGGGGGTGGAGGCGGTGGTGGGGACGGAGGCAGCCGTGGGGGCCTGGGCGGTGGCCGTGGAGTGGGCGGTGGGAGTGGAGGCCGCGGGGACGGCAGCGGTGGTTGTGGTGATGGCGGAGGAAGGCGCGGCGGTCGCGGGGGGGGCCGGGGCGACCTGGGTGCCGGTGGAGGTGAGGGTGGAAGAGGTGGGGCTGGCGGGCTGGGAGGTAGCCGAGGTGGCTTCGGCGGCAGCCGCGGGGGCCGCGGGGACGGTGGTGACGGCGGGGGAGTTGAGGGCGTGCCCGGTAATGAGGGAGGAAGGGGGATGAGAGAGGGAGGAGGAGGGGGTATTCCTGTTGTGGGAACGACTGTCGGCGAGGGCGGCGGCGGTGGCGGTGGTGGGGGGGGGGGTGGAGCTGGGGGCCGTAGCCCAAAGGGAGGAGGAGGGGAGGGAAATGGCGCAGTGCGGGGTCGTACTGCCGGGGGTGGCCTTGGCGGTGGGGGCGAGGGTGGCGGCGATCTGACTCTTGGAGAGGGTGGGGCTGGTGGGAAGGGGGGAGCTGCCCGGCTAGGAGACGGTGGTACAGGGGACGGTCGTGGTGAAGGCGGGCGGGGAGGGGAGGGATTCCTGTTTGGCGGAGGCGCCGGCGGAGGCGGTCTGGGCGGTCGCGGGGGTACTCCTAATGCTGCTACTATTACTGTGGGGAGATCGAAGGGAGGGCGGTTTGGAGAGGGAAGGAAGGGGGCAGCCAGGAAGGGGCGGGAAGGTGTGAGATGTGAGATTCCCGAAGACAGTTGGTCGTTAGGGCTATGGGTGGCTCCCGCGTGACGGATGTGCTCCCATATGTTCTGGGCATCCTAAGGGAGACTAGATGGCAACGAAGCGGCACCACATCGCGGCATCGCGGTCGGGGCCTCCCCGATGTTGGGATGTTCAGCAGGCAGCAGCACGGCAACAGCATCGTACCGACCTTGCGCTGTTAAAGTGTCTGTGTGTCTGTGTGTCTGTGTGTCTGTGTGTCTGTGTGTCCGTGTGTCTGTGTGTCTGTGTGGTTACATGGATTGGCAGGTCTGTGACAAGTGGTATCATGAGCACGTGCATCCAGCTAGTAATACTCGCATCTTGTTCTGCCTTTTCGAAATGTCTGCCTGCTGGCCACGCGGCTGGGAGCATCAGCCATGACCCTTTACGTCGTTTACGGAGAGGCCCCACCTCGGGGCGGCCCATGGGTAGGGTCGCTGCGATGATGCTACAG